AGAATTTCAGACTGGCCGCCAGAACTGTCAGGAAAAATCCCCTCAAAATTCCAGTCTTCTAGCTTCCCACGTTTTCCAGTAAGTAAATTACCCGGAAGGAACTTTTCACGGGCCTGTACGTAAGTACCACGCTTACTCGCGGGCAGGGTTTAAACTCATTAATACCCACTCAGAGAGGGAACACCCTCCTAAGATTTCAGCTCTCTAGCTTCTCAGAACCCCGAGTTATGAATTTACGCGGGAAAAGTTTTGGGAAGCTCGTACGCGGGTACCACGCCTATCCGGGAGCTGGATTTGAGATCATTAGCAGCCGTTGGGCGGGAACATTCCCTAAGATTTCAGCTCTCTAGCTTCTCAGAACCCCGAGTTATGAATTTACGCGGGAAAAATTTTGACTAAATTTCAGCTTTCTAGCATCTCAGGACCCCGAGTTATGAATTTACGCGGGAAAAATTTTGGGGGGTAAAGTTTCAGGGGGCTGGATTTGAGCTCATTAGCACCTGCTTGGACGGGGAATATTCCCATAAAATTTCAGCTCTCTAGCACCCAGAACCCCGAGTTATGAATTTACGCAGGAAGAATTTTGGGGGGCTCGTACGCGGGTACCACGCTTACCCGGGGGCTGAACCCCGAGTTATGAATTTACGCGGGAAAAATTTTGGGGGGCTCGTACACGGGTACCACGCTTACCCAGGGCTCGTACGCAGGTACCACGCTTACCCGGGGTCTGGATTTGAGCCCATTAGCACCTGATTGGACAACTTACCCGGGGTCTGGATTTCCGAGTTATGAATTTACGCAGGAAAAATTTTGGGGGGCTCGTACGCGGGTACCACGCTTACCCGGGAATGAATTTACGCGGGAAAAATTTTGGGGGGCCCGTACGCGGGTACCACGCTTACCCGGGGGCTGGAATTGAATTTGCGCGGGAAAAATTTTGGGGGGCTCGTACGCGGGTACCACGCTTACCCGGGGTCTGGATTTGAGCCCGTTGACAGGGAACACCCCCCTAATATTTCAGCTTTCCAGCATCTCGGAACCCCGAGTTATGAATTACGCGCGAAAAATTTTGGGGGGCTCGTAATCTCAGAACCCCGGGTTATGAATTTACGCGGGAAAAATTTTGGGAGGCTCGTGCGCGGGTACCACATTTACCGCGGGGGCTGGATTCTCATTAGTACCTACTTGGACGGGGAACATTCGCATAAAATTTCAGCTCTCTAGCTTTTGTGGTTCACATTAGTACCTACTTGGACGGGGAACATTCGCATAAAATTTCAGCTCTCTAGCTTTTGTGGTTCGCAAGTTAGCAGATTACCCGTAAAAAACTTTGGCGGGGTCCTACGGGGGTACCACGCGGGAAAGGGATAGGGGCCCGTACGTGCATGCAGATTAAGTCCCCAAAGTTTCAGCCCCGTAGCTTTTGCCGGCCTCGAGATGAAAAATCGGTACAGACGCGCAGCGCACACACAAACACACACACAAACACACACACAGACACACG